ATTTATGACATGATTTATAGAATGTTTTGAACTTTTCGAATTTTCGAAAGTGAAACCTATGCCATTCTTCTAAGCGTCCTTTACGCAGTCCATGAAAAAAGTTTAATCGAAACATTTGAAGGCATTTTTAAGAAAATTTTGAAAATTTTTTTGGCTTCATGTCTAGTACCCTCAAAATCCAAAATACGGCTGGCGCCGTCTCTCGTATCCCATCTTCCAGAAATTGTGGGTGACCCTGAAGACCTAAAGCTTGCATTGCTTCATTTACTACATGGAGCCGTTTTTGAGAAAATCTTGACTTTGTTATTTTTTTAAATTGCACATATTGCTCGAAAAATATTACTTAAAAAATGTGCATGACTTTGTTGAAAGAAATGATTATGAACAACGAATTTCATTTGAACGGAAAATCTCGATCCTTAATTTTGTAGTTGTAGGAACAGTCCGGAAAATTTTAAACTTTTGAAATTTCCGAAAATTCACAGTTAACCATGAAAATCGGACCTACGCCACCTTTATAAGTGTATTTTATTCTAGTATTGCAAGAAATTCACAGAAAAAATTGGGAGCTTTTTAGAAAATTTTGAAAACTTACCAGGGGCTTCATGTAAAGTAGCTCCAAATATTAAGACTGTATTTTTAAATCAAAGCTTCGACTAAATCCAGATAGACATAGGTTTTTTCAATTTGGAAAAAAATCCTACATATGGTTTAGGCGCTAATGGTGTTCACAGACGGATGGACAGACAGATGGACTGACGACCGGACGGGCGGATAGACGGATGGACAAGGTGACGAACAGACAGTCAGGCGGACGGACGAACGGGCTGTGGACGGACAGGCAGATGGGCGGACAGGCGGGCGTGGGGACGCCAAAGCGTGTATTTCCGCTGGAATCTTGAAATCGATTTTCCACAGCATTACATAATTTTCCCTACACTACGTATATTACTCCGTATATACGTACGTATTGGGGAAGGTAAAAAAAATCAAACATCCACAATTCGACTGCTTTTTTTAAAATTTCTAGGTTAATTTTTCTTTCTGAACAAATATATTCATTTATTTTGTAAATAATAAACAATTTATGTTTCTGGAGTGTTTATGAGCTTCTGCCTTGTAATAAAGCCTTGCCAATTGCCTAAAAAGCAGTTTTTTCAACACAACTTTTGAGAGCTTATTGCGACTCAGCTATGCGGAATATCTGAATTGTTTCTTCGACAAAATATGTTTAAAATGGTCTTAGATTATTTCCGAAGTTTCGTCGCTTCCTACCCGGACATTCTATATATCAGAACAAGATTCATACACTTTTTGTTACTAGGATCCGGCAATAAGAATTTTTTGGAGAAAAATCGAGTTTTTCCGGCCCTCCATAACAATACTTTCTCGTTTTTCAAAGTAAGGACTGGGACCGATGTCACATCAATCCCTCTGACCGGTCCTAGGTTCGAGTCCTAATGGAGACAGGATTTTCGACACTGGCTTCTCAGCTGTCTGGAGGAGAATTCTAGTGGCCGGCTGCTCTGATCGGTAGTTTTCTGTAGTTGTCTGTGGTTTCTACGATTAACACCAGACGAGTGCTGAAACAATTCTCTAACAAACGGGCCACGGACCGAGCACGATATTTCCTTCCTCTTTCTTGTCCAATCCTCTCCCTCTACACACACTTGCACTAACACGCACTACCCTATCACATATGATGGGGGATCGGACGGGAGCTTACAGCTTGTCCCGGCTGGGGCGATGGCCCGCTGATGGGAGATACCTGGTTGAGGAAAACCTCATAGTTGGATCTCGACATCCAGCGGGGGAAGACCATCGCCACCTCCCAAGCAAAAACATGCACTGCACTTACGAGACTAATGATCTTAGCAGTTGACGCGACAATCAATCAATCGAAGGTGAAATTAAAAGGGGAAATACGGGGATAAACATATTTATGGAAATATAATGTTATATAATGAGGAGATCCGGGACCCCTTCCAAAATGTTAATGGGATCATGGCCCCCTGCTCCCCTGTGAGCATGCGTATGAAATAATTCATAATTCACTTCTTCGCCAAACCTTATGTAATAATGCTCTCCAATATTATAAAGATGCAATCTAATATATAAAAATCAATGTTGGTTTGTTGGTTCGTGCTTTGCAGATGTGCTGCCGTACCATTCATGTAATTGCGATAAGACTTTGTCAATTTATTGTTTGCACTGGTACAAAGAATATAGGCAATGAGAATAGTACAATGAGATTGTGCGTATGTCTGTCGCACATAGACGCACGTGGATCACGATTTTATGCGTTTATGCTCTCCTGAACAGAACCTCTATGCAACTCGCTGCATCCTCAAGAATTAAGCGCATGTTCTGCCTCTGGGATTGTGAAATATTGGCCGGAAATATTACGTTAATATTGGCCGGAAGGTTATCTCGGATAAGTGAATCAAATTTCTCCAAGACAGTGTCATTGAGTTACAAGTTCCTACTAATTCTTCGTACTGAAAATCGACCTATAGAAAGGACTGAAGAAGAAAACATAGACCTAGATATATATACTGAAGTACACATTAGCGGATTTTGAAGATTATCATGCGGCTGAGGAGAAAGATCAGAATTAGGAAAGTGATGCAGGAAAGCCGAGCAAGGAACGTGAAAATTTACAATGTTGAATGACCAAGGAAGGACAGCTTAGAAAGAGGAGAAAGATAAAAGAAAACATAGACGAAATATGAAAAAGAAAGCAGGATTCAAGGCAAAACATTTAGTTTCGCCAAAACGTGACGAAGAATAAATGCACAGAAAGAATTTAAGAAGATCGCAGAATAACAATAAAGATCAAATTTTGGGATGCCTGATAAGAGACGCAAATTTCAGCCACTTAGAATCCTTAAGAATGAAATACATTAACATATTGCAAGTTTCAACCAACAAATCGCCCACTACCACCAAGAACCCGCACAGAATATTCTGTTCTTGCCTAGTAATGTAAACATTAGTATGTATCATTTAATCGTTACTGCATTTTACTCTCGAAGTAATAAATATCATAATCGTATTGGTTAGTAATAATGCAGTATCCATTTCTAGCCTATGATAACTGCATTATTAATAAACATTATAGACAAATAGGCGCTAATAATGCTTAACCAAAACGCAGTAACTACTTTATTTTATTACTAGAATGAAAAAAATTGTTATCATTTTTACGAAATAGTATTTAAAATTCCAATACAACTGAACATACAGTTATATACTTCTTGTTACGTTCACCATCAGCACAGCTTGTCAAAGTTATCCTCTTTTTTCTCAAAACTTGGTTTTGTGTGGACACTGCGTTTTTCATTGTGAAGGCAGTATAGCAGTGGTGGTTTATCGTGGTAGGCAAGTTATGTCAGGTATCTCTTATAGTCTAGACCTTTTACAGCAAACTTTTTTACTGTCCTCCACTCAGTTTTTCTCCCGCAGAGTTATTCTTATTTAAAGAAATACTAATTTCGTGTGAAGGTTGCGAAAAAACGTGTGTCCTGCTTCCACAAAAATTGGATAACAGTGCCATCATGACGCCAATTCTTCTCGCAGCTTTGAATTCGTTTTTCATTTTGCGGTTGCCTCACATCTGGTATCGCATTCTGTGAGTCGAATAACGCGCTATCGAGTGGTCGGAGCCAGTGGGCTTTGAGTTGTTTGCAAGACATTATCATCATTAGAACCCGGAAGTTTGGCAAAATGCCTTTTTGCTATTGTTACTATATTACGACTTTCAACAATATAAGTCACTTAATTCTTCTTCTGGTGTTGTTTTAGTAGATTTTCGTTTTGCCTTTCTTAACCTATTTAAGCTTCTGAAGCCTATTTTTGCCATTTTGTCTTATTTTTTCTTTTTTCTGTCATTATTTCGCTGTTTTCCGTCTTGGCCGATCTCGATCAAACTGGAAATATGCCTGAAAGTCTGGACAACACGGTGGTGGGTTGTTTTTGAGTGGAAGAAGAGGATATGTTAAAAAAACTAAATGAAAAAAGGAAGATGATACCTATTAAGTTTTGATTTTTTTCTTTGATGCCGGCCGGGTTTTGTGCGCTTACGAGGAACCTCATCTTACTTTTCAATATGGCCTCCGATCCCTTTCGAGGACAGTTTACTGAGCATGACATACCCTTCTCAGTGCTGTCGATTACGCAAGTGCGAAGAACGAAAAACATTATTACGTTTTCACTGATGCCTCTTCATTCAAAAGAGATAGCAAACTATAATTTCCAAGAGACAGTGTCGCGCGTAAAACAAATTCCTAACCATCATACTGAAAAGTGTGTGGAATCAAGACTAGAAATAAAATATCGTTTTCCTTCATGTTAATTTCAGAGTAAGAATAAAAATGAGAATAACGTTATTATTTTTACAATAGTTCCTCTTCAATGTGATTTTTCGTTGTTCAATGCCTTTTGTTCCCCTACTTTAGCGACAATAAATGTCTTTTTCATGCCTATCTTAGTAAAAATAAAATCCTTATTGCCTGCCTATTTAAGATCAAATAAATGCCTGAACTTCCGGGCTCTAACCATCATCATCATTAACATGTGATATAAATGGTGTCAAACTCTTAGCAATGAATGTGCGCGATACAAATTTTTAATAATAAACTATTTAATGATTGGAAGATGAGTGTAGAAGTAATATAGACAGCGAAAACGTTATTAAAAGTGATCACGACAGTGATTCAGGGATGAGTGATAGTGATTCATATAACTATGATGATTCAGATATAGACCTTGGAAAACTGAACACTGGTAACGAAACGGCGAGGAGAAACATAGGAATGACTCCGAACACTGATTGACAAAATAAAAACAGAACATTTTATGACAACATATTCAAGTCAGGTACATTCTCAAATATTGTCTCTTAATGTAATTTACCATTTAATTTTTAGTGTAGGAAGTTCCTTGCAGTTTGTAAATAAATTATTTCATATTTTATTTATACCCATGATTACCTGACATACCTGAAGTTCACAAAATCGCCCGTGAGAGTTCCGTAACTATAATGCAAAAAGAAATCCTTCAAAAGACGAAAAACAATATCTGTGTACTGTAATCAACGGCGTAATGAAATACTTAAATAATTATAGGTTTTGATGATGCTAATAGTTAAATTTTAGTACAGCTACATTTTTTCGTTTTTTTGATAATATACACAAAAATGCAAAAGCACATTTGCATTAGAACATTTGCACTACACCAAATGCTAAGTGCAGATCATTCCCAATTAGGTCCTAGCATTATCAGTAAGATGGCAGCACCAAAACACACAAAATACGTTTTTGGAAATTTCTTTAAACATTCTCGCCGGATACGAAAACAAATTAATAGATGCCCATCAGGAGACCAAAATGTGTCGAATGACACCTCATACGTCTCGATTGGAACACGGGAAGTGGTCAAGCTGCGAGCGACGGAACCGCACATCCGCACACATTCGGAGATTTACTCAAATACTGTATAGGGATTATTTATTTCCTAACCAGATTGTAAGAAGTACGTAAATAATATGCAAAAATTAACAATATTTACTGTGTTTTAACAAACAAACGTATTTTGAGTGCAATCAATTTTTCAAGTTTTTCGTGGCGACCTAAGAGACCGCGGTGGAACGAGAACGTGACAAAAATCGAACCTGATTTCCTAGTTGAAACGATAATTCAAAAGAGGATTGTACCACTAGAATTTTAGTATATTTAGTTTTTTGATTACATTTTGTTGTAGAATAGTGAGGAGGACATTTAAGAGAATGTTTCAGATCTAATTTTCGTTGACAACCCCAATTTTTCGAAAATTGCAAAAAAAAAAAAAAAAAAAAAAATTAAAACTACAAAATAGAAGAACACTGAGGTTGTGAGTTTGAGTCTCGTTATATTTTTGTGAATAATTATAAAGTTATTTAAAAATGAAATGCAATGATATAAATGCTAATATTCGAAAAACTATTTTTTACAAAAACAGTACAACTAGGACTTGGCAAACGCCATGCCGCAGCGCGCAAGGGCAGCTGACCTTGCTGATACCTTATAGTGCGTGAGTCGACGCAACTTGTCAGCAAACGATAAAGCCCGCCGATTACGGAGTTCCTATACTCTTGCTGGTAATGCTCGTGACATCGGTTTCCGACTTTCACAAGTTCTTCGTGCGCAAGGAAGGAGGGGTGTTAGAATTCACATTGATTTCATGGCGACGTGTATCTATATATCTTTGCTAAATTTACATTTGGGGAGCCTATCGTTTTCCTGGGAAATAGAACAAAAACACGTGGGCACTGAGGAGAAATCACAAAACACTTATTTCCTTTTACTTCATTTTATTTCCTTTTACTTAATAACAATTCTGATACAAAATTGCAAGTTGAAGTACTTCAGAAGAAAATATTAATGAAGGTATTCTTAACGACCAAAACAAAACAAGATGAGAAATTGAAAAATAAGGAGAAGACCTATATTGAAAATAACACGTTTATATTGAGTGTTTCGAAAAATGGCAGCGCGCAAGAAATTCACTATTTTCAGGTCATGTGATCTGTGTGTTTCTGTCGATCGCGATGCGCATTTGTAAGCAGGACGCGAGATCAGCTGCTCTTGCGCGTTGCGGCATGACGTTTACCAAGTCCTAATTGCCCTGTTTTTGCAAGAAACCCTTATCGATTATTATCAATATTTATATCATTGCATTTTATTTCTAAAGACCTTTAGAATGATGGAGTAAAAATATACACTTCTATTTAAAAAACAAAGTTGTCAACATATCCAAAATTTCATGTGGTACTAAACAAACGAACTATTTTGTTTGCCCCATCATCTGCAATAACTTGGCGCAAAGAGAATACCAACGAACACTGTAGCCAAATGCTTCCTGCTCGTGACCCCCTTGTTGGGAGTCTGAAAAAGCAAGCTAGCGGGAAATCCAACTGAAACTGAGCTCACAGGAGTCCCAGAAAAAATATGGGGACATACGATTCGGCAGAGGAGCGACTGCCATGAATGGAGTTTGAATTTTGCTGTTTCACTCTAAAATGCGTGAGTGAAGCAAGCGGGGTGCCTGGCCAAACCTGAGTGAGCCATAATGGCTCGCTGCAATTATCAGAGGTGCAAGAACTTTAGAATAATTACAGAAAAAAAGATTCCATTTAAAAAACCAAATTTGTCAATATCTCCAAAATTACATGCGTTACTAACAAAAAAACGAAATATTTGTTTGCCCCATCATCTGCAATAACATGACGCAAATAGCACATTGATAGCTTAAACCGTTTTCAAGATAGTTGCTGTGGCCAACTTAGGTGGTCCACCTGTATACAAGTTGATTCAGTTCTCGTTGCTCATACAGGACCCGATGATTGAGTACACGAAGTTCTTCATGGATGCGAAAGGAAACCAAGTGGAAAGGATCAAGACCAAAGGAAATAGGAAATGGATATAAGCTCATCTACAATGGGGGCACTAGGAAAAATGGTGTAGGAATTATAATGGATAAATATTTCAATGATAAATTGGTGGACGTGAAGAGAGTAAACGACAGAATTACGATGGTCAAGCTAGTACTAGGAGAAAAAGAAGCCTTGGATATAGTTTTGGTCTATGCACCACAAATACTTTTGCAAAAAGTTTGGTCGGAGTTAGAAAACAATTTGCAGAATTGTCCGCCAAAAGAAGAGCTTATCTTAGCAGGAGATCTCATTGGGCATGTAGGGCGATCAAGAGTGGAATTTGAAGATTACATGAAGGGTTTGGATTTCAGGGCAGAAATAAAGGTGAAAACATACTGCAATAGCGGAAGTCTGTGATCTCGCAGTTCTTACCATTTTCTATAAGACGAAAGAAGAACACCTATTATGTACAAAAGCGGCACTTCCAGGTCGCATATTGACTACGTTTTGTGCAGAGACAATATACGATAAGTTAAGGACTGCAAAGTGATACTAGGTGAGAGCTTGACAGAGCAACACCCTCTCGTTTTGGCTGCTATCTGTATGTACGAAAAGATAGGAAGGCGACGATAAAGTGTCCCGTTTCGAACAAAGTGGTGAACACTTGACGGGGCAAGTGCGAAACAGATCAGATCGTAATACGCACCACGCAGGTTCTCCAAATTAAGAAAGAAGAAATGCGAGTGGGTCGGAGTGTCAGGAGCTCTCAAGGAAGTAGCAAGGAACAAAGGGAAGAGGTTTCATCGATAAGGAAATGTGGTGGTGGAATGAAGTGCAAGCAGCATTTAAAGAGAAAAAAGAGCAATATAAAACATGACAAAAATCCCGTAATCAGCAAAATCTGATGACTATAAGGAAGCTAAGAAGAAGGCGAAATAAGCAGAGGGTGTCGCAAAAGCCAAGACTTACTATAAATTGTATGAGGAGTTAGAAACAACAGAGGGCGAAAAGATAATTTACAAGCTTTCGAAGGTAAGAGAGATGTCAAAGTAAGACATTTCACATGTGCGCTGCATAAAGAATGAAAACAATCAAGTCCTGACTAGTGAAGAGAAAATAAAGAAGCGATGGAAGACATATTTCCAGAAACTACTAAATTAAGAAAATCCCAGGGAAGCTTGTGACAATCTACCTCAAAACCAGGGACTTGTACTTCCTGTGGCAATGTTAGAGGTTGAAAATGCTATGGAAAAGATGAAAAATAGTAAGGTCCCGGGACCGGACAACATCCCTAACGAGGAATGGAAGAGTTTGGGTAAAGATGGGATGAAGTGGTTAACCTGTCTTTTTAACAAGACATTACAAACAGAAAATATGCCGTTTAAATGGAGAAGTTATGTTGTTCCTGTGTTTAAAAACAAAGATGTTCAAGAATGCGGGAATTACAGGGGTATAAAACTCACGAACCACGCAATGAAGCTCTGAGAGAGAGAGAGAGAGAGAGAGAGAGAGAGAGAGAGAGAGAGAGAGAGAGAGAGAGAGAGAGAGTGATAGAGGCAAGAAGAAACGGAAGTAACGGAGAACCAGTTCGGATCTATGGCTGGACGGTCGACAACAGAGGCGATATTTGCTCTTACAATGCTGATGGAAAAATATAGGGAGTTTCAGAAAGACCTCCACCTAGTGTTTATTGACCTAAAGAAGGCATATGACAGAGTGCTACAGGATCTTATTTGGTGGGCACTAAGGAAAAAGAATGCCCCAAGCGCATGTTAGGATACTTCAAGATGTGTATGATTCATGCACGACATCCGTGAAGTGGGAGAGTGGAAAAACCGAAGAGTTTACAATCAAAGTTGGACAGCATCAGGGATCTAGTCTAAGTCCATACCTTTTTTCCTAGTTATGGCTTGCAAGAAAAGTTCAGAAGTTAGCACCATGAAAAGTTGTGAGTGAAAACAAAGAAGAACTGCAAGAAAAAATAAATATCTGGAGAGGTGCACTGGACAGAAATGGGAAGTTAGCAGAAGCAAGACCGAGTACTTGCATTGTCTGTTCGGTTCAAAAATGGGTGGAAATCCAACAATATGGCTGCACGGCGAAGAGGTGGTAACAAAACAGAGACTCAAATACCTGGGATCAGTACTGAAGGAAAATGCTGTAATAGAAGAAGACGTAAATATCAGGGTAAGCAGTGTTTGGACAAATTGGAGAGAAGCAACAGAAGTATTGTATGACTGCCGAATAACAATACGCCTTAAAGGGAAGGTCTACAAAACTGTAGTGCGCCCTGCCGGAGTACGCAGTAGAAAGTTGGACAACGAAGAAAAAAGGACAGAAGTTGCACGTAGTGGAGATTAAGCAGCTGAGGTGGATTTGTAGAGTAACGCGAAAGGGCAAAATCAGGAATGAAGTGATCCGAGGTACTGTGAAGGGGAGGTAGATAGTAGAAAATCTTCAAGAAAGGCGACTTCAGTGGTTTAGGCATGTTATGAGAAGACCGGTAGAGTCCGTGGCCCACCGGATGGAATCAACAGAGAATGGGACACGAGTACGGAGCCACCCAAAGAAGAGAGATTGTGTTAGGGAAGATGTGTGTCCCAATGGATATGGCACAGAATGGAA